CTCAGCTGGGGGGGGGGGGGGGGGTGTCAAAAGACCAAGTAACTTATTCATGTTACTCAAGTAATGGAAACAATACCATCGTGTTAAAGTGTAAATACATTTGAATAAATCCGATGTGTATGAAAAATTAGAGGTCCATCAATCAATCAAGTCAAGGTTACGTTAAATGAGAAGGACTCAAATTATTTTTCCCTGTTTGAATTTAACCCTTTCATGTACGCTGTAACCTGATAAACTGTCCACTGTCGTAACCGATGTCCCTGAAAAGGTTAAAATACACTTTAAGTGCAACTCTTAATGTATCTTTTTGTTTGTTTTTTTTTCTTGAAATCGGGCATTTTTTTAATGGTATGTCTCCTTTGCATATCCTATACCAGGGGTTTGTGATTTCTTTTGTAAAATAAAATTTGGAAAAAAAAATATTTAGAGGCACAGTCAACTGCAACCAAAGGTAGCTCACATGATGGCCACCATAGTGTCACAGATGCTTTTGCAGAATTTATATAGCAAGGTAATGTGGCACAGACTGCACAAAACCAACTGCGGTACCGTGATTGGTTCAGGTATCCAACCTGGCGCAGCTGATTGGTAATTTCCTTTGTTAGTTACATGTTAATTGGTTGCAAGGTTTGTGGCAATATCAAACAGTGTACCTCAAAAGCAAGGCAAGCCAGTGTTCAACCTTGTCAATGCTGTGCAAGTGAAAATGTTGTCCCATGGCAAAGATAAATAAACACAGTACAGAGATCGTCTGTACACATCATTACAACTATGCAAATGCCAGTAGTATGACCGTTGTATACAATTGTAACACGTATTTTCCAGTTACAACCGTTTTCAAAACAAAACAAATTCCTGAGTTTTTTTTTGTTTTTGTTTTTAATAGTTAAAAGAGTCAGTACGTGAACTACCGTCAGATATTATCTCCTGCTGCATTTCACAAACCATTATTGCATTTCACCTGCGCCTGCACTCGCAAGACATTAGATTTGTGACAATTAAGGCCACCCAGCGGTGATGCAAATGTTAAATGCATGGGTAATGAAAAATGTAATCATAAATAATCTTACCGGTCTGTTAGGACAAGTCACTGTTTCTTCTTGTGATTTGTAAAGAATGTCTCATTGCTCTTTCATGCTGTGGTGAAGCCGAATCCAAACAAGGACACCTGGAAAATTCAGATAACAATAGAAATGTTAATTAAATCAAATTTCGGAGTTGAATTAAGTCTACCGAAAACAGCTGGAGGCATAGTGAGTAGCAGCATGTTAGCAAATGTTGTCACCCAAATCAAGCATTTACCTTTAATTCCTGTAAAATTACACTTGGCTTTGAACGTAATTCAGAATTGCTTCCCTTCCACATGCCAATGACAAACACAAGAACCCCAAGCTGAAAACTCTGCTGCACTGTACCATCTTGTGTGCTTTGTCATGTGTGTTAGGTCCTGGCCTTCAAAAACCTTTCTGACCTTTTACTAAATGAATGGTCATGGGAAACTCAGTAGGCAGTGCCCAAGAATCCACAGGGAATCCCACCTCTGCTAGACCCCCCATCGGATGAGTAGTGTCTCACTGTCTGGTTCTGTTCCATGCCAGTATGTCGTCCCTGGGGTGTTCAAAATGAGACGGTTGAAACTCTCTGCTTTTTATGCACAATATGTATCTCTATATTTATGTTAATTTTTTATGTGAGACCTGCATCACCAACGGTAACAGCATCTAACATATTCTCAATCGGTCTTCTTCGGAATAACCTTTTCTTTTTCGGAAAAGTATTCATAGTACATTTTAAACTTGAAAAAGATAATAGTTTGAGAACATTGAATTAGACAAGAAAAAATAATAGTGGCTGAAGACATGATTATTCTGAAAAAATAAAAATAAAATATACTCGATTCAATATAACTGTTTTTGCAAGGCATTTTCCATAGAACATTTCAATGACCGTGCTTTTTAAAGAGGCCCAACAAACCACTGATATCTTGACAAATTTAAACAAGTCTTGTAGCTTCGTCTTTACATAGGATATAGTCCTTCTCTATGTCGCAGGAAAGAAACATTCATGCTTTCCAGTGTAATCTATCCAGTTAGGCGGTCCATAGCTTTGCCCATGTACAACACAGCCAGTGTCTTTCTGCCAAATATGATTTCATGCCAGAGCCTCTCTGCAGTCAGCCATTTTGTGTCACAGAGGTAGTTCTGCAGCGCTTCTCTGGTCTCGCATTATTTCACGGTCTATGCTCACACTGCAGGGGGTACATTGTGCCCTGGTCACTGAATGAAGTTTGAGGCATTGGCCGCCTGTGGCCTTTAAATGTCCTACTGTCCAACCTTGTTCCATGGCATCCCTTCACCCATCAGGCAGCCATTTTGTGCCAAATGGAAAAGACGAGCAGGTGAAGGTGTGGGATGACTGTCATCATAGTAGAGTAATGCTTCTTTTATTCTGTAAGATCCCAAAGGTGTTCATAGAAATGTGACTTGAATTTATCCTACAACCATAGAACCTAATTGAGATAATTAAGGATTTGCATGCTATATTCAAAATAATCTTTTGTGCAATTAAAAAAACAGAGGTAAGGATGACAATACAAAGTACTGCTTATTCAACCTAGGGGGGCTGAGGGGGGACTGGAGACAATCTTAGTTTACTGAATGAAATGAGGCAGGGTACACACACACACACACACACACACACACACACACACACACACACACACACACACACGAGTCGACACCCAGGTGTAGAGTACACATAGAAACAAGGTCATTCACACTCAAAACACACCTTCAGACAATTTAAGGCTTTTAATCAAACTAACATGCATGTTTTTAAAATGTAGGAGGAAAGCGGAGCACATGGAGAAATCTTATGCAAGCACAAGGAGAACATACAAACACCACAGCCGGAATTCAAACAGCCTCAGAATTATGAGGCACTTAATCACCATGATGCCATTAATATCAAGTACCTGTATTTACTTTCTTTGTTCCAAAGAAAAGTTCATAACCTGAACATGAGTGACACAAACTAGAAACCATAGGCATTTTAATTGTAGCTCAATTATGGTATTATTTGATAGTAGTTTGCTGACATTTCAGGTGGCTAGAGAGAGCACCACTGTCCTCTGTTTGAATTTAAAGAAGAGACGCTAGCTGTTGTGTCAAGTTCATATTAAAGCCATGGTGCTACTGACAAGTTAAGATGACTGGATGCCCATTAACACTGTGAACACCTATTAGGGGGAATCAGAGATATTTTAACGTTCAACACATTTGTGAAAGTGTATTTCTGGTAAAGTGATTTACATGCTGCGCATTGCATGTTTTTCATTGCATTTTGTGTATTTTTAGTACTCACTATAGGAGGCTTTTACCCTAATCCTTGTCTGTAAAAGTAGAATATTGAAATTTTCATGTACCTGGTCCTACATTATAACATAATTAATTTAGAAAATGTTTGGACCGTGGTTCAAGACTATATTTCACTGGAGAATCCCTGGAGATTTTGTCTTGTGTTTCTGACAGTATCGATGTTTCAATATCTTCAAGGAGGAACTCAAGGCCAATTGAAAGTTTCAGATGATATTTTATATACATAAAGGATATATTTTTATCTTATTATCAACCATCCACCACAAGTAGTAAAGATCAGCAGAACAGATGTTACATCCATTCATTCCAATTCCGAATGAAAAAAAAAGTTGTATTTCCGTCGATCTGATGGCCCACAGTTATCAAACAGATAATAGGAGTGGAAACAAGAATAATTAAAGCTGCAACTTTGTTTGGTCATTTTTTTTTATACTGTAATGCTGGCCACAGCTACAATGCATTGATTGATTCATTTCTCTTATCTAAATCTAAAGCTAATTGACTCGGTACTAGCTACTGTAAATGACCTCAACCGACTTTCTTGCAAACACTAATAAGTGTTTGGCCTCTTACACTTACTGACATTTGTTTTCTTTAAAAAAATAAATTAAAAAACAGCTTTACTTCTTGAAAACACTCTTTTTACTGTTCCCAAGTACCAACAACTCTGCAGGTGGTATTGCAGGCAGAGGTGCACACATACTGTATGTTTGGAATATTTTACTTGAAAAACTTCCCTGTTGGAAGCAGTGTTGCTACTGCTTATCAACCAGCACAGAGCCGTCAGCCCCCTCTGTAGTCTACCGGCAGGGGATATATCTGTAAAAACCCACATCACAGCCGCATCTACCAATACACTACACTGGCTGCATTGAGGGTGGTCTGTAAATACACACCCACACACAGTGAGCACAATATCACTTTGAACAGTGTTTGGATTGTGTTGCAGTTTTTGTTTTGACATGGGCCTTTTAAACTCAGTGATAAATGTAAAAAATCAAGATGATGTAATTCACATGTGACATCACCATTTGTTGGAAGGTGCAAAATAAAGGTCAATGCAACCATGATCTAAACCACAAAGACATGCTTTCAAAGTTGCAAGACACCAAGAGCAACAATGAAGATACCGTTTTCATTCATTCATTCATTTTCTGATCCGCTCTATCCTCACAAGGGTCGCGGTGGGTGCTGGAGCTTATCCCAGCTGTCTTCGGGCAGTAGGCAGGGGACACCCTGAACCGGTTGCCAGCCAACTGCAGGGAACACAGAGACGAACAACCATCCGCGCTCACACTCACACCGAGGGACAATCTGGAGTGTTCAGTCAGCCTGCCATGCATGTTTTTGGAATGTGGTTAGGAAACTGAAGTACCCGGAGAAAACCCACGCAGGCCCAGGGAGAACATGCAAACTCCACACAGGGAGGCTGGAACTGGGCTCGAACTTGGTACCTCTGCACTGTGAGGTCCACGCACTCACCACTGGACCACCGGGCTGCCCCACAATTAAGATACCTCAGAGTAAAATATAGTTCAGCAAAACGAATACTGGGCCTGGATAATTCACAATGAACTGCAGAATGAGTCACAGCTTCTGCTGGTTCAGAGGAATAAGTTAAACATTGCAAATGAACATATGAAAAATAGCTAAATAGACACATGAACATAATGCACATATGATAAGTTTAACTGTAAATTAGGTGATGTAATGACAAAACAATTAGAGCAAAATAAAATAAAAAAAAATATATATATATATATATATATATATATATATATATATATATATACACACACACACTTTCCCAGTCAGCAAAGGCATTTGGCCCACATTCGGCATGAAGCCGGCACAGGTGGCATTGCGTCGGCACTGGCATAAGGCGTGTGGGCCCAACATGGCCCAGGAGTGGCAAAGGAGGCACTGGCTTGACTCTGGCAAACAAGATGTGGGCCTGTTGTTGACTGAAGTATGTGGCCCAGAAATCAATTTACAACTCTGGCCCAGATATGGACAGCCAGTATTGTGTCACCCTTAAATGCAGTTTCAGATTTTTTTTTCTTCACACAGCCTTGTTTTACATACAGACGTATGTGTAAGTCTATACACCACACACATGCGCACACACATATTGCCACATGCACACACTCATGCTTGTGCATGCTCGCTCGTGTGCACAAACAAATTAAACGTGGTCAAGTAAGATCATGTTGAAGTCGACCGACGTCAGCGAAAGAAGGTACAAGTATTTTAGGGTTTTTTGTTTTTTTCCTCGTACCTACTTTATTTTACAACAGTCATGTATTGCTACACCCCGACACAGTAGGTGGTGATGCACCGCGAACGTTAGCTGCCACCCGCCATTTAAGAAGAAGAAGAAGACGAAGAAGAAAAAGAAGAAGCAAGAAGAACAACGCTTGCGGTTAACGATGACGGTCTTTGACCACAATTGACCATGCACGCTCCAGTGAGACATCCAGAAAAGACGTGGTGAGTAAATGCATTTATTTTATGCTTAGTTTAACATTTGTCTTTTGTGACAATACACTGGCAGTTACAATACGAAGACAATTCTGTCCAGAGTTTAGCCTGAATTTTAAAGAGCGTTAATAATGACGATTAGCATTGACCCAAAATGGGGAGAAATAATGTGCTGCAAGCACAGATATGACTTCTTTATGGTGGCAGAGGGAAATATAAAAAATATATTGTGCTACAACTTAAAGGATATTTACATGTATTTTTTCTTAAAATTGTCACATCCTGTGTCTAAATCGAGAGACTGAAGCGCGCAAATTTTTAAATAAAATTCTCAGTTACGTCACAGGTGGATTGGGCCTGAACCTACTGCGCCACAGTTTCCATGTGCATATGAGTTTAGTGAAAATGTAGGCGTTTGTACAGTCAGAGGTGCTGCTAGGCATTTCGGGCAAGAGTAAAAAAACGAACCCTTTCTGCACTGAAATACAATGAAATCCATTTTGATTCAGTTTGCTGCGATACAAAACGAACACTTCATACATGGCCATAAAGTTAATTTAAAAATTATTACCTGAATTAAAAAAAAAAAAAAATCTGACATTGAAATGAAAAGTTTTGTATTTGTAAGACTGAATATGAAGATTAACAGAATTTAATTTTCAGTGAGGATCAAATACAGTTTCAAAGAAAAAAAATATCCTTTTCAAATTCAAATGGTTTTCAACTAATTCCAGACTTCTGACATGTTCTTGTTCTGCAGCTTTTGTTCCAGCTTCTTGCTGTAGGCCTTCTTAGCCTCCCCCAGACAGACTTTTTGATCAGTTTGCACCTTGCTCATCATCTCAGAGTTTTTGCTCCTGAATGCTCTTTTCTTCTTATTCAGAATTGTTATGACCTCAGAAGTTATCCATGGTTTGTCGTGATCAAAACACTGCACTCTTCTCACAGGAACAACTTGGTCCACACAAAAGTTCAAACAGTCAAACACCCCACCACGAGGTCCTCGCCATGCAAATTAACCAATACACTCAATCTGTGGTGACAATGCAGTCTCTGAGTGCATCCTCTGCCTCAAGGGACCTCCTCCTGACCTGCCTCGAAGACCTGCAAGAGCAGTATCCAAGGTGACATGGCTAAACTCACCTGATATGAGGAAGAATGCATTCAAATTGTGTGAGTGTAGTGCCGTTATGTGTTATAAATGCACTCGCACCCAGCCTCTCCATTTGTCTTCGGATAACCATATACCAAATACCGTATTTTCACGACCATACAGCACACCGTATTAAGAGGCGCAGTGTTGGTTACGAGTGCTATTTCTGTCTTTAACACAATGGCGGGCAATTCCAGTCCTGAAGGGCCGCTATGCTGCGTGTATTCCATCTCTCCCTGTTGCAACACACCTGATTCAAACGAACAGGTTCAATATCAGGCTTCTACAGAGGTTGCTGATGGTCTGATCAAATAGACAAACTCATGCAGCATCCGCAGATCAGGGAGGCTGGCAGAGTTACTTTACTGATGAGCTGGAAAGTCTTTGGTATGCAACGTGCAAGATAGTGATCTCCCCCTGTCTTTGTATCCCTAGGGCTGGGAGAAACAGAGCAGAACTGAACACAATTAAGTGAAATCCACGGCTGGAGACCGAAGGGGTGTCTGTGACCTTTAATCCACGTCAGACTGGCAAACTATAGTGGGCAGCTCAGGCATTTGGAGTGCACCTTTACACAGGTGCAGTTCATCAGCCTGATTGGCCACGACCAGCCAGCCCTGAAGGAGGGAGCAATCTATTGAGTCTTGATTGCCAAATCACCAAATCCCCATCAAGGGAAGCCTCCTGGCAACCCACCAGGCCTGTCAGGGCGTTCTGAAGGAAGAGTCAACCAGGATGTATGAGTGGGGAACCCACCACCGCTCGTCAGGACCATAACCCTCCCAGTGCACCAATT